AGCACTAAACCCACAAAGGTCATGAATTGTTATATATAGAGTGAAGGCATACAAAATTAATATTTTTCTACAGTTATCCCCCGGTTTGACTAGAGAAAATGTAATTCTTCCGACACTACCTACAGAGCCTCTCTGTAAACAAATCTCAATTATTTACGTAATTTTTTTTTCTGGAGGTATGTATCATGTTTAAAATGCTATGTAACGGGTTTTATATTTTTAATTTTGAGGAAAATACCTAGATGGATTTAAAAAAATGCCTTTTTTTTAAAGTAAAATAAGACCCTTTAGTGTGCCCCAAAGTAATTATTATTAAGATTTTTGGCGTCATGAGTAAAGAGGCTTAAACGATTTTTTAAAGTGAAAACCCCCACCAGCACAGTGTGTAAGTATAATTTTCCCTACAGTTTAAAAATAATTAATTATCAGAGTAATATAAAATACGCATAACTTTAAAAAAATTGAAAATTTTGGAAAGTTTTTGGGACATTAAAAGATGTGGCACGGAAAAGTAACAAACCAAATGAGGGCACCCTTTTGAAAGGGGCTGGGTTCTGTATAGCAAATTTTGGTCATAATCTGCCATCGGGCCTTTAAAATTTTCAGAAAAAAAAAAAAAAACCGTTAAAACCCCCGGGGGGGGCCCCTTTCTGATGGTCAAATATTTCCCGATATTATTTATTTCAAAATTTTTACAATTTTTGATAACGTTAAAACCTTTTATTTTTTTGGGTGGGAAAAAAATTCAATAGTGAACAAAAAAATTTAAAATGGAATTTATTTTTTAAAGCCCCTTAAAAAGTAACTAAAAAACAGGGGAAATGATGTTTAGTGCCAGGAATGCCTGCAAATTTTTTATTTTTGGACCCAAATTTGAAAAATTTGGGTATTTTGAATTTGTGGGTTTAAAATTTGGGCCCAAAATTTCCCCCCCAAATTTCCAATCACTTTTTTGGGGAGTTTGGAAAAAAGTTTTATGGATTTATTTCCGTTTCTCAATTGATAAAAAAAGAATTAAAAATGTGAAATAGCTAAGAATTTGGTCAACTGGAATAATGTTTAAATTGGCCCCAAAATGGGAGTCAAAGTCGCAAAAAACGCCTGAATGTAAAAAACCTGACAAAAAGAGCATGATTTCATCCATTTTTTTTCCCTAAAATTTTTCTTTTTGCTTTATTCCCTTTAGAAAAAAAATTTCTCTACCCTTTAAAAAGAAAAAAAATTAATTTTTTTTTTTATAAATTTTGGGACCCTTCTGTCACTCTAAAGGACCATCAAAGGGTTAAAAAAAAAATTTTTTTATGAAATGGTGGAAAAATTTTTCGGGAAAGGGAAGATGCAAAATGTGAAATCTGATGGGGGGACTAAAAAAATTACACAGGCAAAAGATTTACACCAGTTAAATTTTGTTTTTATTAAAATCCCAAATTTAAATTTCCTGGAGTTTTCCTGGAGAGGTTTTTGGGGGGAAAGCCCCCCCGGCCCCGGGCCCGTGACCCGGCCTCCTGGTGGATCAGTGCCTTATCAACCCGGCCCGTTGGGGCTGGGTGACAAAGCAAACCAACGTACGGCCACAGCCCGGCTGGTAGGAAAATGACTTTAAAGGGGCTTGGCCAGTGCAAACTTGAAGACTGCCAGGGGTCTGTTGGTAATCCCCCTTATGTGTGCTGGGAGGCAGTTGAACAGTCTCGGGCCCCTGACACTTATTGTATGGTCTCTTAACGTGCTAGTGACACCCCTGCTTTTCATTGGGGGGATGGTGCATCGTCTGCCAAGTGACCCAATTCCCTACAGTTTTGCTAGTATGCCTCCTGTTTTATTGATTGAGCACCAGAAACTACCCATTCAACTATCACAACTACCATATAATATACTAAGATGTCTGTATTTTAGCTAATTTTATACAAAATATAAAAAATTCCACTTTATAAACAGAGTCCAAAACAAACACTGTAGGCATTCAAGCCACTAAAGCAACCGGTCCACTGTTCATTAATCATATCCTCAGGCTTCTCCTATGTAACACTTGCCCTCCACTGTTAATCCATCATCATACAAAAAGTCAATGTTTTACCCTATTTCTCAGATAAAATATAACCAAGAATGATTGGTCAAGATTTTGGCCATTCCAATTATTGAAAAAGACATTTTTTTTTTAACACGTCGGCCATCTCCCACCAAGGCAGGGTGACCCAAAAAGAAACAAAATCCCCAAAAAGAAAATACTTTCATCATCATTCAACACTTTCACCTCACTCACACACACTGTTTTTGCAGAGGTGCTCAGAACACAACAGCTTGTCAATAAAACTAGGGATCTTTAACCTTGTCAAACCCTGTGTAAAAAGAAAGAAAGAGAAAAAGAGAGAGAGAGAGAGAGAGAGAGAGAGAGAGAGAGAGAGAGAGAGAGAGAGAGAGAGAGAGGGAGACAGAGAGAGAGACAGAGAGACAGAGAGAGACAGAGAGAGAGACAGAGAGACAGACAGAGAGACAGAGAGACAGAGAGAGAGACAGAGAGACAGAGACAGACAGAGACAGAGACAGAGATGGACAGAGACAGAGATGGACAGACAGAGATGGACAGAGACAGAGATGGACAGAGACAGAGATGGACAGAGACAGACAGACAGACACTGAGAGACAGACACACTGAGAGACAGACAGAGCGACACTGAGAGACACAGACAGAGCGACACTGAGAGACAGACAGACAGAGCGACACTGAGAGACAGACAGAGCGACACTGAGAGACAGACAGACAGAGCGACACTGAGAGACAGACAGACAGAGCGACACTGAGGGACAGACAGACAGAGCAACACTGAGAGACAGACAGACAGAGTGACAGTGAGAGACAGACAGAGCGACACTGAGAGACAAACAGAGCAACACAGAGACAGACAGACAGACAGACACTGAGAGACAGACAGACAGACAGAATAATAGAGTAAATCCTGAGCTTAAAATGTATTTATTATTATATTTAATAAAATATTTGTTCATTAATTTTGTTTTCTAATGATTATCAAAGTATTCACATTTTTCGTCATGATGCCATAAATCAGAATTGTACATGAAGTGAATTCAACATTCCCTAATAAATGTCTTTAACAAACATTGTGTAGGTAACTGAAAGCATGACAATTCATCTTCATCAGCCATGTTAACCCTTTCAGGGTCCGTCCCGTAGATCTACGGCTTTACGGTGAGTGTCCAAACCGTAGATCTATGCCATGAGCTCAGCTCACTCTGATAAACTGTGAGTGGTACATTTGGGCCTAGATATGAGAGAATACATCTATGTGGTATGTGTGCACCACATAAAACAGATCCTGCAGCACACTGTGTATAATGAGAGAAAAAAACTGAAATCATGATTTTTCGATTAAAACAGCGACTTTGCAGTGTTTTTTTGTATGTTTTTTATAGTTGTATTTGCGATTTCTTGGTCTCATTTGATAGAATGGAAGACATATTACAGAAATAGAGATGATTTTGATTGGTTTTAGCACTGGAAATGGCTTGAAACTGAGCTCAAAGTAGCGGAAATGTTAAATTTTTGCCGATATTCAAGAGTAAACAAACGACCTCACACATCTAATACACGTCAGCTGGTGGGTCTAATATACATTCACAAATATGGTGATGATATTTATACAATTATTACAGTATTGCATAACAGTAAATCTTCTATTTTTTGGTGTAAATAAAAATTCATTATGTGAATAAAAAATCAAAATGGAATTTATTTGTAAAGCCTCAAAACATAACTAATGAACAGAGGAAATGTTAGTTTAGTGCCAGGAATGCCTACATTGTTTATTCTGGACCCTATTTTGAAATTGGAATATTTTGAACTTTGTGTTAAATTGGCCAAATTAACAATTTCCGATCACTTTATTTTGTAGTTGAAACAGTTGACTTGGCGATTTCTTGTGCTCAATCGATAGAATAGAAGTAATACTAGTGAAATAGCTAAGAATTTGGTTGATTGGAATAATGTGATTGGCCTAAAATGGGAGTCAAAGTCGGCAAAATCGCCGATTCGTAAATATCACTGACACATCAAAATTCGCGAGAGCATAATTTCGTCAATTTTCCACCAAATTTCGTACTTTTTGTTTTATTACCTTCACAAAAAGATTCTCTACGATTTCATAAGAAAAAATAACAATTTTTTTTTTTTTAAAATTCTTGGACACTGGTGCGTGACTCCAGATTTGGGCCTTGGACCCTGAAAGGGTTAAATACCATGAACTACAGTGACGAAAAGTAAAAGTCACAATACCGTGGCTGGAACAATTCACAACCCACAAATTGGAAATGAAAACTGCATGGCGTGTCGGTCCATCCTGGACCATTGTCAAGTTGCAAGTGAGAAAGAAAAGGGAAGAAAGCCAGAAGTTAAGTCAGGGCGCACAACAAACAAACAAACAAACAAAAAACTGTCTGTTAATAAATTCAAGTCTCTTCTCAAAAATCACTTACTCACCCACAACTAAATAAATACTGAATAATTGTATCTCATAAATTGTATCTCATATATGTATCTCATTATTGTATTATTGTATCATTATTGTTTTTGTAATACTCATTTGTGCTTGTTATCTGTTTACAATAATGTTTTACCACTGAATACTTCATTGCTTAGTTAATCTTAAGTTAATTTTAAGCCAGCCCGTAATGCTATGCATTCAAGTGGCTTTGGCATTCTGCATTTAACTGTATTCTTTTGTACTTCACTGTATCATGTTCAAATTAATAAATAAATAAATAAATAAATAAATACCCAAAACCAGCAAGAAACTTTTTTTTAACTCAACTGAAATTATTGTTAAAAAAAATATTTCAGTTAATATTGAGTAACAAGTTTTCTAAACAGGCACCAAGAAATTTTCATCTAGATTCTAATGCAATTGTCATTAAAAGTTATTCTTACTATGATGATGACTAAGTTGATCTAACAAAATACTTACAGCTGCAATCCATGGGATACTTACAGCCTAAAGTTGGCTTCACGATCCCGGTGTTGTCTTTGTACAGTAACAGTGACGGTAGACTCAGGTAGGGAATCGGGGTTGACGGGGACCTGGACGCCTCGCTCCCATTCCTGCTTCCACGGATCACCAATGCCCCAATAATCTTCTGAACTCAGTGGTTCATTATCCGCTAGTTTCATAGCTGAGATCAGGTCCTTTCGGAACAGCTGGAATGATGAAATTTTCCATAAAATCTCTTGACGTTCAACTGAATCATAAACAGTATACTAGTTCAGATTCAAAGCAGTGACAGAATAAAGGTACAGTAAAACATTATATTACACAGTTTTATTTGGTGTATTTTGGTTATTACACTATTAAAAAATTGCTGCGCAATTTTATACAACACTTTGTAAAATTAACTTAACACAGTTCGGTTTGCAGGAGAGGAAAAATTTGGAGCATCGCCCGTGGGATACTTCCCCAACAGCTAGGAGCTAGCTGTGTTTATTATTATGTTTGTGGATTGAGTTTAGATCTTTTAATTGCCATTATTGTACCTGCCAAGCAATCATGATACCCAGTAGGTATACAAGTGTTTCTGAAAGTGGCAATGGAAGATTTAAGCATTTAAGTCTAGGAGTTACAAAGAAATTAGCCACCAGGCCCAGTGGCCAGTGGTTAAAGCTCCCGCTTCACACACGGAGGGCCCGGGTTCGATTCCCAGCGGGTGGAAACATTTCGACACGTTTCCTTACACCTGTTGTCCTGTTCACATAGCAGCAAATAGTACTTGGGTGTTAGTCGACTGGTGTGGGTCGCATCCTAGGGGACAAGATTAAGGACCCCAATGGAAATAAGTTAGAAAGTCCTCAATGACGCACTGACTTTCTTGGGTTATCCTGGGTGGCTAACCCTCCGGGGCTAAAAATCTGAAGAAAATCTTACCTTATCTTGTTAGATAAGCTTAAGAGTGGCTCACATGTGGTGGATGTAGTGAGGGCCTGTGGCCTTAATGATGTGTCAGTTCATACAATTAAAAAGAATGAGGTGAATATACGAACTTGTGTCATGAATAACCCAAGATGTCATCTTGTGAAAAGAATGATACATACCTGGAATTTACCTGGAGAGAGTTCCGGGGGTCAACGCCCCCGCGGCCCGGTCTGTGACCAGGCCTCACAACAAGTAAATAAAACTGAAAACTTGTTGCTTGAGTTGATCAAACAAAAAACAAAGAAAGGTGTACCACTTAATTTCATCTTAATTAGGGAAATGGTCTTACAGTTGTTTAAAGCAGTGTGTGTTTACATAAGAACATAAGAACATAAGAAAGAAGGAACACTGCAGTAGGCCTACTGGCCCATACGAGGCAGGTCCAAGTCTCCTACCGGCTTAAGTATTTAAGTCAATGCCCCAACCTAGTCAGGTCAGGTCACATTCACTTAAGGAAGGAACATGGCAACTGACCTAGTAGCACAAGCTAATCAGGTCCAACTCACACCCAGCCACACCCACTCATGTATTTATCTAACCTATTTTTAAAACTACACAACGTTTTAGCCTCAATAACTGTACTTGGGAGTTTGTTCCACTCATCCACAACTCTATTATCAAACCAGTGCTTTCCTATATCCTTCCTGAATCTGAATTTTTCCAACTTAAAACCATTGCTACGAGTCCTGTCTAGGCTAGATATTTTCAGCACGTTATTTACATCCCTTTATTTATTCCTGTCTTCCATTTATACACCTCAATCATATCCTCCCTAATTCTACGCCTTACAAGAGAGTGCAGATTCAGGACCCTTAGTCTATCCTCATAGGGAAGATTTCTGATACATGGGATCAACTTTGTCATCCTCCTTTGTATGTTTTCCAGAGCAATTATATCCATTCTGTAATACAGTGACCAAAACTGTGCAGCATAATATAAATGAGGTCTAACCAAGGATATATAGAGTTGAAGAACAACCTGAGGACTCCTATTATTTATGCTTCTTGATATGAAGCCAAGGATTCTGTTAGCTTTATTGTGAACAATTATGCACTGTTGTCTTGGTTTCAGATTTTAGCACAGGCTGGTTCCACAACTTTGAGTGGGATAATAAGTTCAAAAATATTAATTTTCTGGTGAAAGTATTTCAGCTGATAACAGCACAAGAAAGTCCCTGCTTTTTTGAGGAAATTATTTTCTGGGGGGGCAATGACCCCTCAAATATTTAATGCTGACGAACAATTTTTTTTGGAAAAAAAATCCAACAAGAACTTAATCACGAAAAAGGGAAAAGTGCATAGGTTTTTCCCAAACGCAAAGGACGCTTCACCTTGTTCCACTGCGGTAATGATAGGTGATTTCAAGTGTAACCCCAGGGTTATTTACTGCTCTAAAATCCTTGTGCTTTGGAAGGTGAGATAAAAGCACCTACCAGTAATTTGGAGGTCAAACCGCCACAGGGATGAACAGGGAAAAAATTATTGACGGGTTTTAAGCATCCCCTTTTTTACGAAGTCAAGTTTTCCCCTGCACAGAAAAACCCTTCATTCAAGGCTCTCTTCATTCTTGATAATTTCCCGTACTCATCCACAAGCTCTGCGGGGATGTGACCCCACTGTAAAAGTTGTTTTTTTACCTCAAAAAAACATTTTTAAAACCCACCACTGGATCGGGGATTTTATTAAGTCATTCAAGTGCTTTTTTTTTTAAACAATCGGCTGTCTCCCCCCGAGGCGGGGGGCCCCAAAAAAGAAAGAAAACCCCAAAAAGAAAATGCTTTCATCTCATCAACATTTCACCTCACTCCCATAATCACTTTTTTTTAGAGGTGTCCAGAACACAACATTTAGAAGCATATATTTTTAAAGATACACAACATATCCCTCCAAACGCTAAATCCTGAAACCCCTCCTTTAGAGTCAGCATGTATTTTTCCCATTTCCGGACTCAAGCCCGGGCTATATAAAAAAAAACCCGGGTTTCCCCTGAATCCCCTTTATAAATATTTCCCGCTCCATCCAACAGATCGCAGGTCCCAATACCATTCGTCTCCATTCACCCTATCAAACACACTCATGCAAAAACCCGTGGAATCCAAGCCCCCCGCCCAAAAAACCGCCCTACCTTTTGGGATGAACCCCCACCCCGCCTTTCCCTTTTCCCCACGATTTAAAGCCCCATTCAAGTGTAACTAAAAAAAAAGTTATGAAAAAATCTAGTTGCATCAATGGACTCTTGACTCCAACCTGGGAGTACCAAGTTTCGGAATAAATTTTAAAATTGCAGATGCCCTCACATGCTAGAAGTGCAGGGAAATTAAGGGGCCCCCAAACAACATTAAGTGCAGCTGCGGAAAATTATGGCCTTTTTATTAGTTCTTTTACTGGTTTTCTGTTGTCCCAGTATCAGAAATTTTCCCTATGAGGATAACTGAAGGCCCTGAATCGCACTCTCTCGAAAGGCGTAGAATTTGGGGAGAATGATTGAGGGGTATAAAGGAAAACGGGTAAATAAAGGGGGGTGTAAATAGTGTCTGAAAATTTCCGCCAAAACAGGACTCGCAGCATTGGTTTTCCCAAATTGGAAAAAAATTCAGATCAGGGGAAAAGGGTATAGGAAAAACATGGTTTGGGAAAGAGTTTGGTAGTGCAACAAACCCCGAGTACGATTAAATTTAGGGTAAAACGTTTGTGTAGTTTTAAAAATAGGGTTGATAAAACATGAGTGGGTGTGGTTGGGCCTGACATTGTGCTGCTGGGCCGGACAGTGCCCATCCTTTATGGGGTGACCGACGGGTGGGTCATTGGGATAAACCAGGGGGGGGGGTCTTGGGAAATCCTGGGGGGGGGGGGGGGAAAAACCCCTTTTCCACATGGGTCAGTAGGCCTGTTGCAGTGTTCATTCTTTCTTATGTTCTTAAGTCAGGTTCAGGAAATTGTTCAGCTGGCAAGGAGATTACCAGATGATGATTTTTGAAGATATGAATGAAGATGATGTGAATGAGCTCTTAGAAGATGATAATGACAATGAAGACAGGAGTCCAGAGGAAATGTTGGCAGAGCTCGATGCACAGATACAAGGGAGCCACATAACAGAAGATGAAGAACCTGAAGAAAAACGGTTAACATGCACCAGTTACGTGAGCAGTTACATGTTGCTGCTAAACTAGCAAACTTTCAATGAAGAGGATCCTGACAAATCTAGAAGCAGTGCTTTGAAACAGGGTCTAGACCAGCTGATGATGCCTTACCGTCAGCTGTATAGTGTACTGCAGGGTAAAAGAGCCCAGAAATCCATTACAGAGTTTATGCACACTAAAATACAATCACTGACTTTAGTACCAGAACCTCTAACATCCACTTCTGCTGACAACCAACAACCATTCACCTCAGCCGAGTAGGGCCAAAACATGCATCTCCACCATCTTCACAATCATCCACAAACACCAGTACCCACAATTTAAGGTAAGAAATACTATTATTTCTGCTGGATTTGTAGTCTTAAGCAGTAAAAACATAATATATCATGACAATGAACTACAATTACATATTCACTTTTATTTTTGTAAAATCTGTTGGTCTAAAAAAAAAGGTTTGGCTTTTTGGGGGCTCCCAGGAACGTAACCCTATTTTTCCCATAAGTTCTTCAGTTTGTCTCACACGGTTTTACCTAACAGGGCATTTTCAGGAACATAACTACCGTGTAATATAACAGTCTACTGTAATCAGAGTGTAAAAATTTACTGTGATATAGAAAACTGACCTATAAGGAACTTTAAATTAAGAAAAAGTATCAAAAAACATCAAAATTTAAAAGAAACAATAACCAAACTACAAGAGAATTAAACATGGGAAAGGTAATGAACCAGAAAAACTATGAATAACTAAATCTACATGTATTTGCAGGTTGCCCATCAGAAAAATCTCTGGATAATCAAAACCAGCAAATAAGGAACCTTGCTACTTCATAAAGTCGACTTATTATCCATGCTCATGAAATCTCCAAGAGCATAATAGTAGCAAATATGGAGGTCTCAATGTGACTGTGACTGTTTCTTCTACCTGTTGATGGTGCTAGGAAATGTTCTTTATATAACTACAGTACAGTACTCTTTCATAACTACAAGAGGGCCCCGCTTATACAGCAGGTTTCATTCTGGGCTACTGCTACACAGTGAAAACTGCTGTAAAGTGAAACATAGCCTCTTTTTTATTTTCAAATGTATATAAAA